TTCCTGTTCTTATAGAGCTAACATTCAGTCTTTTACCACTAATGATATGAGCTTTTCATAGATGTCCTCTATTAGGTTGAAAAAGTCCCTTCCCCTTCTATTTGATAGTTTGTTGAGTTGTTGTTGTTTTAATCATGAGAGGGCACAGGATTTTGTCAAATGCCTTTTCTGTGTCTATTAAGATGATCATGGGAGACACCTGGGTGGCTCAGCGGTTTAGCATCTATCTGCCTTTGGCTCAGGGCATGATCCCAGGTCCAGGGTTCGAGTCCCGTGTCGGGCTTCCCACCAGGAGCCTGCTTCTCCCTCTGCCTGTGTCTCTGCTACTCTCTTTGTGTCTCTCATAAATACATAAATAAAATCTTAAAAACAACAAAAAAAGACGATCATGGCATTTTTGCTTTTTATTCTATTGGTATGGTATATAATGTTAATTGATATTCAGATGTTAAATCAACCTTGCAATCCTGGGACAAATCCTTTTTTTTTTTTTTTTTTTTGGTGTATAATTCTTTTTGTATGTTGCTCAATTTGGCTTGCTAGTATTTTGTTGAGGATTTATTAAGTTTTTAATTGATATTTCCTAACTTTTTAATAGCAGGTAAAGTATAATATATGTAAGAAGAGTTAGCTAAATCATTGCATTTGAGGGTTCATTGAGTGTTAAAGATAATCCATAAGGTCTTGATATGTTGTGATTGGATTTTGCTGAAGCAATGGATTTTGCTGAAGCATGTATTTAAATCATATGCTACAAGGGAAGTGGAAAGAGTGTCACTTAGCTAGCAAAATTAGCCAAAAAATAAGCTTTCAAACCCCCACATGCCTTTATTCTGTAATCTTGTTTTATTAGGCATTTTGGGTGGGGGCAAAATTATACACTAGAGTTGCATACCTCATCTGAAGCCTGCTCCTTTCAGTGTCCAATTCTGGTACAGAAGCTTATGAAAATACACAACACACCTGTCCAAAGCCAAGAAAAACGGAAAAGAATTAAAACATAATTTGAATCTTTGATTTCAAAGAATATCAAATGGGATCCAATCCAAATTCAACGAAAAAATTTTAGGGGCACCCAGGTGGCTCAGTGAAGTGTCTGCCTTCACCTAGGTCATGATCCTGGAATCCCAGGATCAAGCCCCACATCAGGCTCCTGATTAGTGAGGAGTCTGGTTCTCTCTCCCTCTGCCCCTCTCCCTGCTCCTTCTCTCTCTCTTTCCCAAATAAAGAAAATCTTTTAAATTAAAAAAAATACTAAAAAAAGAAAAAACTTTAAAAATCTTGCTTTCTTCACTCCTTTTCCAGTCTCCCATAGGAACCCATATATAAGGTCTCCTTCCCACCTCCCCCACCCCCATTCTCTGCCATTCTGTACCCATTCATTTTATCTTTTAGGAGAGAAATTGCACATTTGTGGCCCATAGGCCAAATCTGGTCTATGCCTGCATTTAATTTAATAAAACATTTTAAAATAAATTTAATTAGTTGGCAAGATTTATAAATTAGGAAATGACACATAAAAATCTATGTATATAATTTCCTTTGAAAAAATTGAATTTGGGGGAAAAAAATAAAAATTTGATTTTATCAAAACCTATTCGACATTTTACCACTGGATGGCAGTGAATAGTGACTGTCTCCTTGGAACATGGTATGTCCTCTAATTTGCTGTAGTCTTTACCACTCCCTATTGTATTACACATGGCCAAATTTACTATTTATGATACAGGCTTAACCTCTGTAGATATTGGGATTTATGACCTTTTAATGCTATCCTTTCCAATGTATGTTAATTACATTCTCTCAGATTCGTTCCAATTTTGCAAATTTTTCTTATATTGAATGGTGTAACAAAAGCTCTGAAAGCCCCATAGGATTTTTTGAGCATTGTCTACTGTCTGGAGATAAGCTGTGGCCTTTTGGGCCCTTGAAGTATATTAAAATTCCTGTGGACACGTCCATCTGAAAAAAAGGAGGGGTAAACTCAAACAACTAGTTACACTAACTGCATATATGCAAGACCTTTTTCAGGGAGAAAAGCCCACCTCAGAGAGTGAATAAAGGGAAAAAGTGCTGGGCAGTCTGTGCCTGTTGTTGTAAGAAAAGTAGTGATTTACAATATTGATCTTCCTGGAAAAGAGAAGAGGGGATGGAGAAAGAAAACAGGTATTACAGTAATATCAGTAGGACCTATGAAAAGCAATTACAATGTCAATGACTTAACCTAAATGGCATATATACCTCAACTGATGAGTTAAGAGCTATCATTTTCTCTGGAAGTGGCTACTAAAGTCTCATGTAAATCCTTGACTGTGGGGGAAAAAAATTGTACTTACTTCAGTGTTTCTTTACTCTGACCTTTAAATCTTTATTTGTATTTCTTAAAGACCTCAATTATCTTAAAATGACTGGGACAACTTTGTAGTATTTAATATTTAACACAATTAGTCTTCTTTATAAAACACAAGAACTCTCCATCCTCTTCAATAGTGACTGACTCAAAAGGTCAACCTAAAAACAAGACTATAAAAATCAAAAGCTACATTTGGAATATATGTATATGTGCTGCCAAAGCGAGCACACATTTGGAATATATGTATATGGGTTTTTGGATTATATTTCAGTAATCCTCTACCTAACCAGAAAATGTAACAATATATATGTGATTCACAAAATAGAGTGAAGGTTGGTTTCCTAAACATGATTACATATTCATCATTATATACTTGGCCTGTTTCTTTTTAACTAGTAATTGTTAAAAAGCAGATCTACTTAGTAATAATTAATTTTTGATTGGTTACACTATTATGATGTCAGATGGACCCTAATAATTTGGACCACTGTAGGTTAGTATATTACACCTAGATGAATTCACTAAATATATATAATAAAATAATATTTTATCTTTTTTTTCATTTGTGTTCTTACTTCAAGACTGTCTGGGATTTTTTAAAAAATTATTTATTTATTTGAGAGAGAGAGAGAGAGCGCGCACAAGTGGCAGAGGGAGAGGGACAAGCAGACTCCCTGAACGCAATACCGGGCTTGATCCCAGGGCCCCAGACCATGACCTGAGCTGAAATCAGACACTTAACGACTGAGCCACCCAGGCAAACCGCCCCCCCGCCCCCCGCAAGACTATTTCAAAATTTTTGATATGTGGAGCAAAGAAAACAGTGTGTATACTTCAATACATACATATATAGACTCAGAACAATTAATAATACGAAGTGCTCAGTTTGTCAACACAAAATGAATAGTCTTTTAGAATTTCTCAAAGAAATTAAGAATTTTGTTCCATCCCAAATTAGGACAGCTGTCCAGGCGCACAATCTTCATAAAGAAGAGAGGGCTCTAGGGTCGCATGGGTGGCTCAGCGGTTGAACGTCTGCCTATAGCTCAGGGTGTGATCCCAGGGTCCCGGGATCAAGTCCGGCATCGGGCTCCCTATAGAGAACCTACTTCTGCCTCTGCCTATGTCCCTGCCTCTCTCTGTGTCTCTCATGAATAAATAAAGTCTTAAAAAAAAAAAAAAAGGAGAAGAGAGGGCTCTAAGGAAGGAACATTTGGTGTAGGATTATATACACTGTTTACATAAAAAGCTACAAATCATTAGATAAAAGACGTTTCTGAAAGTTACAGACTTTTATCTTAAGCTTTTAGTACACATAGGGGCTGCATGATCTTAACGTTATGGGAACCAGGGACGTGTTTTTTTTTTTAACTCCTTTATGTATGAAATGCTGCTTGTTTTTTTTTTTTTTTTTTTTTTGTTTGTTTTAAGTGAAGCAGATGTACAAGGGGTGCTCAGGACAGAAACAGAGCCCAAGCTTTGAGGTTTTTGCTGACTCTGGCAAATGTTAGATGTATGGCTTCCCCGGGGAGCCCATGAGCAGGCCCACAAACATTAAAAGTTGAAAGTTCCCTTTAAGTTATCAAGTTCAATTCCTGATCTACAGTAAGGCATCATCAGTACATGGCGGCCGTAGCTATTATAACTCTCACCGCTATTGTCTCCTATAAGGCTCCTTACGGTGCCTCGCCTCACAAACAGCTGCGTATATGGAGGAGCCGTCCTCCTCCCATCTTTGGCATACACTTGGCCAAATCTTACTCCTACACACCTGGCCACAGACGGTTGTTGGACCTCTCATCACTTTCCTACTGTGCAAAGTGGTTTTTGGAAACTAAAATAGCAGATCCCGGGCAGCCCAGGTGGCTCAGCGGTTTAGCGCCCCCTTCAGCCCAGGGTGTGACCCTGGAGACACGGGATCGAGTCCCATGTCGTGCTCCCTGCGTGGAGGCTGCTTCTCCCTCTGCCTGTGTCTCTGCCTCTCTCTTTCTCTGTGTCTCTCATGAACAAATAAATAAAACCTTAAAAAATAAAATAAAAAAGAAATAAACTAGCAAATCCCGTTGGCTGCAAACACAGCAGGAAATAAACGCCTTTGGCCCACTTTAGCTGTCCCAGTCCATGCGTCCTGTTCCCCACCTCCAACCAAAGGTGCGTTAGAGAGATTTCGTATCTAACCATCAATTCCCATGAACCTAGAAATCTTGTCTATCTACAAAGAAAACTCAAGCTTGTGAGAAAAGGGAGATTCTCTTCCTTTAGGGCTCCAAGAACTATATATTAAAAAAACAAAAACAAAAAAACAAAAAAAAACACACCTCACCTGAAAGGTGAGCCTACAGAGACGGGAGCACAGTTTACTAAAAACCCTACCCAGCGACCGGACCCACTCCAGCTGCGGCCCCTCCTTCGGAGCCCGGAGCTCGTTCCCTCTTCCTTGGCTCTGCTCCCGCCCTTCCCCAGGCTGCCGTTCGAACTTCCCGCGCAGCAGAACCTACCAATCAGGAGCGCCTTCCCTCGGGCCACGCCCCCTCCCCACCCGCGCGGGAGCCCCGCCCACTTCCGGGCACACCCCTCTCGCCCCGACGCACGCCGCGCGCGCGCGCGCGCACGTCGGCCTGTGACGCCGCCGCCGCCGCCGCCGCGCCCCATCCGGCCGGGGACCGTTGGGCGGCCCGCCCGGGTCCCTCCCTCAGGACCTCCCCCCGCCCCTGAACCGCTCTCGCGGCAGCGACCCATGTGGGAGTTCAGGCTCCTGCGGTCGCCGCCGCCGCCGCCGCTGCTGCTCCTGCTGCCGCAGCTCAGCCTCGGAATGGCCGCGTCGCGCTCGCAGGCCGAAGCCATGAACCTGGGCGGCGGCGGCGGCGGCGGCGGCGGCGGCTGCGCACGGGGCTCCCCGTTGGCCGCGGCGCGCCGGCCGCAGTGCGTGCAGCTGTCCCCGGTGCCGGGAGCCGACCCGCAGCGCAGCAACGAGCTGCTCCTGCTGGCGGCCGAGGCGGCGGGGCCGGCCCTCCCTGGGGACCCGGCGAGGGAGGAGCCGCAGCATCACGTTCTCTATTTCCCCGGGGACGTGCAGGTAGGACACCTGTTCCCTCCCCGTGCGCCTCTGCGAGCGGCCTCAGTTGCCCCGGCCCCGGCCCAGTGCGGGGTTCCAGGCTTGCCCCGAACACGCCCACACGTGCCCTGAGCCGCGTGGCCCCGCGAAATCCCAGGGCCCGCCCCTGCCACACCCCTGGGCCCCCTGCTCCGGGAGCCCCGGGGTGGGGGGGAGGAGGAGGGAGGTGCCCTTGGAGGGTCACGACCTCGGGCAGAGCCAGCTGTCCGTCCGTCCGAGCTTGGGGGGGGAGGGGGGGCGGGGTGTGTGCAATCCGAGCCCGAAGGAATGAGGCCCCGCGTGTATATACCTCCACCCCTGTAACCTGGCGGCGCAGAGGTGCGCGCGGGGTTCGGCGGCAGGCAGGCGCGTGGCTTTTCAGATTAACTCAGCACGCGGGGTGCCGAAAACCCTGGCAGTCATTAAAGAGCAAACGAGCAAAAAATAAAGCATGCATGCATAAATTAATTAATTAATTAAAATAAAAATTCTAAAGGTATGACCCCCCCTTTTTACTAACTCTAGAAAAAAGAGGGTGGGTGGGGAGTTAAAGGGGCAGTAATTGCTAAGCCTGTCAATATTTTGCGCTCAACCTGAATTCTGTACTTTTTTTTTTTTAGCTTTATTATTTGATTTTAGATCTTCAGGCAAATATTCGTGGCTGTCTGGTACTGGGAAAGCTGGGTCTTAATTAAATTAAAAAAATTTTTTTATTGGAGTTCGATTTGCCAACATATAGCGTAACACCCAGGGCTCATCCCGCCAAGTGTCACCCAGTCACCCCAACTCCCCCTCCCCCTCCCCCACCCCTTCCTTGTGCGTTTCCCAGAGTTAGGGGTGTCTCCCACGTTTTGTCCTGGGTCTTAATTTAGGTCTCCATGCAGAGCTGTGTTGTCTAGTTTGGCGGCCGTCCCGTCAGTTAGTTAGTTGTACGTGGGCCGTTTGGTTTGCATTCACGAAATGCAAAATCCAGGCGGGAGCGTCGCGCCGACGGCGTCTGCAGCGCCCGGGGGCACCTAAGGTTTGCGGGCGCCCGGGTGGGCAGTGTGCGAACGCGGAGCGTTTCCATCGTCAGAGCCAAGTTCTGTCGGGGGTAGTACGGGTCGGTGTGTGGACAGGGAAGCTAACTAAAATGTTGGCCAGCTGGGTTTCTCACTCCCTGAAACAGTAGTATTAGTTTGTTTTTGAGATGGACGCTTCAGACTGATGTAGTCGCAAACTTTGTGCTCTGTGTCAAACGATGATGAAGATGCATGTAATTTTTTTTCCCTCTTATCCTTAAAATAAGGAACCGGTCTCATTGACTGCTAATAGAAACTGTGAAAAAAACAAAAACAAACCCTAGTATTTAGATTGAAGAGTAGACTATTAATCCTCTGTTGCTCAATCTGGGAAAAAAACAGCATGACATTACTGATAGCGGCTTCCAGAGATTGGAGGAACAGCTACTATGTGCATCTATAATGATGATGATGATGAGAGTAATGATGATGATGATGACGAACCTTTGTTGAGAGTCTGCTAAATATTTATAAAGTGTTACAGCCAGAAAACAATACAAGTCTTCAGATAAGGTCTAAAAAAAAAGTGCTGAATACACTTAGAGTCATACCTCCTCTTTGTGTGTGTGTGTATGTGTGTGTGTGACATCATCCATTTCCTTATGTAGCCTGAGATTCCATTAGCTTTTTGGACAGTGATCTAGTGTTGCTTTACAGAGAGTGTATGAAGTGCTTTAAAAACCCAGGTCCTTTAGAGAAGAGGAAGATAATGCATCAAAAGGCTTTAATGCCAAATTGCCTAGGTTTGAACCCTGATTCTGCACTTTTTAGCTATGATATCTCTGGCTAATTCCAGCTACCTCAACTATAAACTAGCAATAATAATTTATAGGATATCAGTGAGGACTAAATACGGGAATTCCTCATGAGTAACAGTTCCTTCTCATCTTTCTGATGACTTTTTCAATTATTGGGCTACCCCAGTGCTCAGCTTTTGGACTTTTCTCCTCTACCTTTATCCCCGTAGTGATTTCTTGGAGTCTTGTGGTTTTACATTCCACCTGTACTCTGATGACCTTCGATATTTGTATAACTAGCCTAGAGAGGTTCCTGGAACTCGAGACTTACCGGTTGCATGTACAATATTTCCTTTTGGATATTTTTTTTTATTTTTTTTTAATTTATGATAGTCACACAGAATGAGAGAGAGAGAGAGAGAGAGAGAGAGGCAGAGACACAGGCAGAGGGAGAAGCAGGCTCCATGCACCGGGAGCCCGACGTGGGATTCGATCTTGGGTCTCCAGGATCGCTCCCTGGGCCAAAGGCGGGCGCTAAACCGCTGCGCCACCCAGGGATCCCAATAGATACCTCAAACATAAAATCTCTACATCTTTGCTTTTAAATCTGTTCTTCCTGCAGTTTCCTCATCTCGGCTAATGGGAATTTTTTTTTAGTTGCTCAAGTTAGAGATCTTGAAGTTAATCTTTTAGTAACCTCTCTTTTACACCTCATACCTCGATCAACAATTAAAGCTGCTTTCCCTTCTAAACCTATCAAAGTGATCAGAATAACCAGTTTAAAAGTAAGTTAAATCATGCCACACCACTGCTGAAAACTCTCCAGTAGCTTCCCATTACTCAGAGGAAAAGCCAGAGTACTCTTGAAGAAGGGCTCTTCACTGTCTTTATCTTTTCCCACTCTTGCTTGCCTTTCTCCTTTTTCTGTCTACTCTGCCCTAATAGCGTTCTTCGTATTACTCGGGGTAGGCACACTTGACCTCAAAAGCTTTGCACATATTGCCTGGAACAATCTGCCTACAGATGTCTGTAGGATTCATTACCTCACCTGTTTTGAGTTGCTCAAAAGTTGCCCTCGCAGTGAGGCCTTTTCTGACCTTCCTGTATCATAATCACATGTATACATACATGTGATCCCTGTCAGCTTTCCTCTTCTGTTTTACCCATTTCATTTACTGTATTATTCATTTCGGTTTTTGTCTGTCTTGCAACACTACAATGTCAGTTTCATGTCTGTTTTCTTCACTAAGTATCTCTGATGCTTAGTGATTGGTGTTCAGTGACTGGCATGTAGTAGGTGTTCAGTAGATAACTTGTTGAATGAATGAATGAATATATGTAAGTTGCTTTGAACAGTGCAGGAAGTGCTTGATAAATCATGGCTATTATTATATGAAATGCTTTTGGCTCACATTTCTTCATATCTTTGTACTTGATTTTTTTTTTAGCCTAATGTTTATTCGTGTGAAATTTACCCTGTTAGACACAGCTCATCTTATTAGTATATCAGTTCTTTCATAGAACCATTATTCTGGTTTGTATCATATATTAATTAAAGACATTCTTTCAATATCTTTATTTTTAATTTGGATAAATACCGAACAGAATTGGTCCAACGGAACTTTGTAGGGTACCATTAGAAGCTTTACTTCTTGTTGATACCGATTTGTTGTTTGGTATCAATTAGATCTGGTTGCCCAAGTAATTTTAAATTTTAATTACCATTACTTTCTTGATGTTCCTCTTGCAATCATTTTTGTTGGTGTTGTGTGTCCTTTTTTATTCTATATTTGTTATTTTCTCATTTGAATTAACAGGTGAGCTGAGAACATAGTAATTCATATTCCTTTAGGTACATTGATTTTTTTTTTTAATCCAGTAATGATTTTGGAGGGAACAGAAATCAGGATTTTTTTAAGGAGGCATTTTCCAATTTTCTTGAGTTATCTTGCTTTTTAAAGCTTCAGTATATAAAATTATACTTATCTCTTTTTTCAAGTATAAGCTTACAATTTGATGAGTTTTGACAAATGTTACAGTTATGTAACCAACACCATAATCATGTTATACAACATCTCCATCACCCTAAAAAGTACCTTTGTGCCCCACTTCTGTTGGTCTCTTTTCTCAGCCACAGGCAACCACTGATCAGCGTTCTTTCACTATAGTTTTGCCTTTTCTACATTTTCATTAATTTGCAATCGTAGTATGTAGTCTTGTGTCTGGCTTCTTTCACTTAGTATATGATGCTTTTGAAATTCATTCTTACTATTGCCTGTATCATTAGTATGTTCCTTTTTATTCCGAGGTAGTTTTCTGGTGTATGGATATACAATTTGTTTACTCATTCAGCACTTGGTGAACATTTGGGTCATTGCCAATTTTACCTTTAAAAAACCTGTTTTCCTAAAGACTAGGATATAGAGATGACCATGCCCTAAATGTATGTCCTGGTGTGTCACGCCTTACTACTCATACTACTACCACACTCGCAACACTTCTGAAACCTATTACATGGGTTTTTCCTCATACCATGTGATGCTCTGCACACCAGCTGGATATCCTATAACTCAATTCTGACAGTATCTACCCGGAGTTATTATTACATTTCACAAGTTAAGGGCTCAGTCCCACAAGACTGCACCCCCATTTCCAGTGCCAGTCAAAAGTCCCAGGTTGTCACCTGTGCTCCTGCAGACTGCCTATAAATTGGGGTTGCCATCATACCCTCCTTAGGTTCAGTTAATCTGTAAGAGTGACTTATGGAAACAATTTACTTACTGTTTACCCACTTATGAAAGGATATGATAATGGATGAATATCTCGATGGAAGAGATGCATAGGGTAAGGTATGTGGGAAGGGGTGCAGACCTCTCTCAGTGTGGCACTCCCCTAGAACCTCCATGTATTCACTAACCTAGAAGTTACCTGAACCCATACTTCGGGGATTTTTTTTATGGAGGCTTCATTGTACAGTCATGATCAGTCATTAACTCCCATTTCCAGCCTCTCTTTGGAGAATGGATGGTGAGACGGAAAGTTCCAAACTTCAGTCATGTCTTGGTTTTTCTGGTTGACCAGTTCCTGTTCAGAAGCCCACCAAGAAAAAAAAAAAAAAAAGAAGCCCACCAAGGGTCACCCCATTAGAACAAAGGTGTTCCTGTCACCTGGGAAATTCCAAGGG